AGACATTTGTTTAGGGTATCACCTTCATCTTAATTGCCCTTTCTCTGTTCCTTTACACCCTGTGATTGTGGGCATGGGAAAATACCAAATATGCAGGCTGGAAACTCTATCCGTCTCATGACAACGCCTCAGTTGAAACGCCATCAGAATACTAATGTCTTGAGACATAGTTCTCCATTTTGCAAACCTCTGTTTTTAGACATATAGCCTTCAACTTCTGATGTGACCCACCCCCACTAAGGAGCGTAATGTGTTTTTGAGTGAACTATTTGTCACTATTTGTCATATCTAAATGCTTTCACAGCAACATCTGAGTTGACATTTGACCAAACGGCTGGACATCTTAGCCTAGCCAAGTTGACACACAAAATGAATCCACACAGATTTTGAGAGATGGAGTGAGGGAGATCCTGTCTTTTCACTGATTGGGGTGATCACGTTCATGTCTCCAACTGAGGGGTCAGATCAGGGAGCCCCTGCTGAGGTGAGGTAGGGCCTGGCAGTTTATGAGGCAAGGAAAAGAAAGATCTGACACAAATGATTGTGTATTCCAGCTGAAGAAGTCCATGTGTGGAGTTGCCTTTTCGGTTGTTGAGCGAAGGTATTTCCTATGAATAAGTTATTAGTTTTACAAAATTCTACCATGTGATCTCCAGCTTTGTTTCCATTTCCAGTCCACCTTTTCCAACTACTGCTCTATTCTCTTTGTTTCCAACTTTTGCATTCCAAGCGCCGATAACTATCAATGCATCTTGATTGCAAGTTTGATCAATTTCAGACTGAAGCATTGGTAGAATTCTCTAATGTGTTCATCCCTAGTTTTTGTAGTAGGTACATACATTTAAATAATATGGGTATTGACTGGATTTCCTTGAAGGTGGACAGATATAATCTTATCACAGACAGTATTGTACTTGATGCTGGATTTTGCAATGTCCTTTTTGACACTGAATGCCATGCCATTCCTCTTGATTGCTTCTTCCCAGCAGAGTAAATCACACGGTTTTCTGATTCACAATGGCCATTACCAGAACATTTTAGCTCACGCATGCCTAGGATATGCATCTCTATACGTTCTATTTCATTTTGACAACTTCCAATTTGCCAAGATACATACTTTGCACATTCCAAGTTCTGATCATTAGCAGATTTTTGCAACTGTTTCTACTTACCTTGAGTCATGCCCTAAAAGCAAATGAAGGTCCTGCAGGCTCCACTCCCACAGGCTTCCACTGACTTGTGTCACCATGGTCTCCTTCACTGCAAGGAAGCAGCTCTTTCTGAGTCACATTTAGAGTGCTTTCTGATGCAAGGGGCCCATCCTCCAGCACATCTGGGACAGAGGGCTGCTTCCATCCATTAGGCCTTCAGTCCCTGACAATGCTTTCAAGCTATGTATAAAGTTTTCAGTGGCTCCTTCTTCTGAAATGGGGATCCAAGTCCTTCCTTGTTGTCTGTTCTTAGTCTGGAAGCTCCACTGAAGCCCGTTCACATTGGGTGACCCTGCTGGCCTTTGAAATACCAGCGACATAGTGTTCAGCATCACAGCAACACACAAGCCACCACAGTACGACACACCAGCTGGGGGAAGATGGGCCAATGGCAACGGGAAACACAGGGAGAGAGTTGTAAGACGTATTACCTTGTGAGGGTTTCCATCAAGGTCACAAAGCAGAATGTGCATCATTTGTGTAATGGAAAACCAATCTGCTATGGAAATTGACATCCAAGTCACCACAAAAGAGGATTCACTAATGATATCTATTCCTTGGCATAAACAAAAAGACTTGCATACATTAGAAGACATTCTTGTTCAAGACTAGAGGAGGCAATATTATAAATGTGATGATGATTTTGATCAAATGAAATAAGATTTTGATCAAAATACCAATGTAATTATTTTGTGCTTTCAGTCGACTAAATACTCACAGACCTAAACCAACGGTAAGGATCCGTTGATTCCAGAAACCCAGCTAGTACCAACCCACTCAGTAGGAAGCAGTGCTGGTCATGCTAGTGATTTTGGGCCCTGGCTCTGGTAAACTCCATTCATTCTAAAATGTCTATGTATACTACTTAGTCCTCTTTATAGGGGGACAGGTGCTCACTCTGCGCTTCTGATCGACAGGTTTCAATCTTCTGCCTCCTTTGGGTTTAAGGAGGATGGGAGAAGAACCTTCTGACTATAACATTTTCTGTGTCGTCTCATCTTAAAATTTTATTCACTTTGACATGGTTTGGTTTGTGTCTTACTAGTCTATAGTTTGGTCATTTGTGCCCAAATGAGCATGAGCATTGTCATCCCAGCTATGGTGAGCCACCTGACCCCACCTAGCTATCCTAAGGCCTCAACAGACAGGCATCCACCGTCCCCAGACCATGGAGATGGGATGCTAAAGGGATTTATAGGCCATGGTAGGTGCCGTGGGGCTGTGGCATCTTTCATTCACTAACATGTTTTCAATGAATGGTCTATTTTATGAAAAGATGTTATTCATTTAGCCAGAAAACATTTATTGAGACTTTACTGTGATCCAGGAGCCAAGGAAACATACGATCTTCTATGTATCTAAAGAGATTACATAATCTCCTTAATCTTTTTTTTTAAACCATTTTATTAGGGGCTCATACAGCTGTTAT